AATGCAAAAGTATACATGTGTTAAAAATTTTATTTTTCAAGTCATATGACATCATAATATTTCATGCCCCCCCCCCCCCTAACCACACTTTTTTGTTCTGTAACAAATCTAAAGATTTGGTGGACATTTATTTTATACTTTTTATTACATTTTTTTGGAGAAGAGGGTTGTTGTTGTTTTTTTAAAAGTATTTTTATAATGTTTTATTAGAAACACGCAGGCACACACGCATACACACACAGACAATTTCCAATTTAGTTAAATATTTTGTTAGGTCAATATTCAATATTTCTGCATGTCATGACAACTTTTAATCAACTGAGCTTTTAAGATAACGACGATCTCACATACAGGTTGGGCACACTGTGCCTGGCTACAGGCTAGTCAGAGGCGTAGCGTGGTGGGGGCAGGGGGGACAGATGTCCCCTGACGCCAGCTAGTTAGGGGCGCCAAAATGTGCTTTGATATTATTTTATTGATGAAAATAATGGGTTTGAGAGTTGAAAAAAAGGAAAAGGGGCGCTTTAAAATGGAACTTGTCCCCGGGCGCGAATCTTGTCCCCGGGCGCCAAACACCCTCGCTACGCCACTGAGGCTAGTTTTCGCACCTTGGGCGAGGCAAGCTTATTCAGCTATCCTCACGCCCTTAAAAATATGTCAACTTCAATTATTAAAAACAAAACTTTATGTATAAAAATATAAAAGCATATAACTTGATCTCTTCAATTTGACCCGATTTTAGTTTGATTGATTGATATGATATTTGTATCGCGCTGGTATCCATGCCACTTTTAGTATGCTCACTGAGCTCTGGTCGCCCTAAATCTATTTAAACAAAAAAGTTTTAAATTTTTTCTTAAATTCTTTTTTATCATTTACAATTCCCCTCAAAGATTGAGGCAAACTGTTCCATTATTTTGGCGCTATTGCTTCAAAAGAGCGCACTACGTAAGACTTTTTTCTGTGTTCATACACACTAGGAACACTCAGCAAGTACTGTGTTGAAGACCGCAGGCTCTTCAAGGATACATGTTTATAAATCAGTTCCTTGAGATATTCCGGTGCTGAGCCATCTATGCAGCTGTGCGCCAGGGACAGAATTTTGTAGTTAATGCGCTCACTCACAGGAACCCAATGGAGATCTCGTTGAACGGGGGTGATGTGGTCAGATTTTAAGAATAAGTCATCAATCAATATATTTCAAACAAAAGTAATATAATATCAATGTTTGAGTATCTTTAAGAAATACAAAATAAAACATTCTGCCAAGCGAATAAAACTTTAAGCCACATAAATAAAACACAGTTAAAGTTAAACCTTTTGCCACATAAATAACTCAGGGTTAAAGTTCACCTTTTGCCACATAAATAACTCAGGGTTAAAGTTCACCTTTTGCCACACAAATAACTCAGGGTTAAAGTTCACCTTTTGCCACACAAATAACTCAGGGTTAAAGTTCACCTTTTGCCACATAAATAACTCAGGGTTAAAGTTCACCTTTTGCCACACAAATAACTCAGGGTTAAAGTTCACCTTTTGCCACATATAGTTAAAGTTGACACTTGTCAAAAAAAGTTTCCATATCATGAAAATAAAAATCTCACTTTGCGTGGCTTTTATTTTATTTTATTTTTTTTACCAATTGATGATCGTGGACATGTGTAAATGATATGGTTGCCATGCCAACTAGTCTCTTTTCAAGCACCATAACGAGGAGAGTGTACGTTTTTTTTTTTTTTTTTTTTTTTTTTTGCAATAAGTTTTAATTTCCAGAAGCTACGCTCTTCAATTGTCAATGATACTCACTGATACTGGATGTGTAAGAACAACCGTTGAAGCAACGTTAATATCCTATAATTTATCTTGTAGCATTTGTTGTATTAAGAAGAGAAGTCACGGGGTTGACTTTGGAAATCTTCGGGCAATTGTTTTAAGTTTGCAGCACAGATTCTTCAGCATCATTTGTTGCTGTTGCATTATCCCCTGATGAATTTTTTCAAAGTTATTGAATCTTTGGGCACGTCTCGATCGATGTTTTACTTTATAAAGTAAATCCTATGTGTCATAGAATAAACCAAAGAGGAATTGGTAGTGCTGACATTGTTGGAATCTCACTTCGAAGGATTGTAATAACCATGTCTTTTATGTCAAAGTAAAGTCATGACCGTGTCTTATATGTCAAAGAGAAGTCATAACCGTGTCTTGTATGTCAAAGTAAACTCATGACGGTGTCTTGTATGTCAAAGTGAAGTCATGACCGCGTCTTGTATGTCAACTTCGAAAGACTTGATATTGGCTACTTTTAAATGTTAAATTTTTAATGTGGATATGAACAACAACAAAAAAGTTTTAATACTTCTTTTTTTTTTTTAATCCCCAAAGTACTACAGCTCTCAATTGACATCGTCCCTACCACCACCCCCCCCCCCCCCCCCCCCCCCCCCCCCCCCCCCCCCCCCCCCCCC